TTTTTAGTTATCCACATAGTATAATATTTTATTATCAGTTGACTCAAGGAGAATTTCTGCCACACCATAAATCCAGCAGCTATTCCTGCACCAGAAAACCATGTACAGTCGCCGTAAACGCCATGCATAGATAGATGCAGTATGCCAACTGAACCATTCATGCAAAATTCAAGGCTCACACACATGCATACTCAAGTCAGGATGCAAAGACGAATGTCTCAAAATACGACAAGAAACCTGTGGTATATTCCAAGCCGTCTGATGGGCTTTCCTCGGTCGCTGTACTGCTCCGTAAGAATGGACACCTCTGAGCCTATCTTCTTCAGTATGTAACCAGGCCAGAAAGACGGGAAGGAAATCAAGATAAGTATGAAGAAGACGAAGGAGATGAAGAAGAATCACGATGAAAAAGACGAGGGATGGCATCGTCAACGAGGTGTTGCCACCTTATCATATAGATAGTAAAAGATCAAATGTGGACGATAGAGCCCCGGTTTCTGAATATGCTACGCTCATCGATACGACATAACGGGGAATGTCTTTCGGTCGGCAGTATTGATCTGGAATTCAAAAATGCCATCTACTGTGGCAATGTACCTGCTCAAGTCAGTTTTCCTCCTCGAGCTTGAAGCAGACCAGGGCCTCATCTTACAGTGTCCTTCCGTCGGCGCCGAAACCCAGTCCAGCCGTGCTACCTGACTCCTGGTCTCTAGCTCCGGGCCCTAGACTCCTGTCTGGGAGTTCGTTCAAGACACTCCTGATCCATCTAGGTGAACGTGTCTGTTCAAAACCCAAGAGCTGTTGACGGTATCGTTGTTCGCGTTGACTGTTTCTGTGTTGCGCCTCGTTGATAATTTGTCGTTGTCTGCGAAGCCGCTCTGCCGCGACATTAGTCCTCAATTCTGAAGTTGACAGACGTCCCAAGTCATGCTGACTATCGGATGCCGTGAGTCGCGAAGCGCTAGAATGATCAACGGTGGCAGACGGGCGAGTTACAGATTCATGGGCTCGAGTGTCCGAGCCTTCTTCGCTATTAGAGCTGCTCGGACCATCGGCATCGCCGTCTGCAGGATGCAAGCGATCAAGAAATGTTGCAGACTGAAGTTCTGACGGTGAAGCTGTCCAGCTCAGAGTAAGACTTGGCTGCGGTCCAACATTGGCCCCAATAACCGACCTACTACCCTCGGGATATCCCCGTGGAGGAGTCACAGGGTTGTCGCGCCCTGCATTCAAGTTCCGGCCGGAGATTCCTGTGTGGCCAAGGTAGTTTTCCCGAAATGTATCAATAAGAGCGTCGCTTCGGTGTGGTGGCGAGGTAGGACGGGATGGTCGACGAGTTCCTTCGGTGGATGCTTGGAACTGTGAGCGAGGTGCAGGATGCGGTTGGGCGTTGACTCTAGCTCGTCGTTCAGTCAGACCCTCTTCTAACCTCGACGTCCAACGTGCTGTATTTAGGAATTCCACAATCAGCCTCTCTCTCTGTGTGAGGTCCTGTATCAAGCTCTCACGCAAAGGAGAATGATCCGTCCCATTTCCCCGCTCATTCGAAGTACGCTCGATCGAATCGAGAATAGCCCGGTGGGTTGCATCCGTTCCATGCCGAGATTCAGCGAGAACACGACCGTCAAGGTCAGATTCGAGTTCTTCTGAGTCATCTAGTATCGGCTCCGTGTATACTTCTTCCAAATCGGAGTCGTTCATATCCAGATTTAGAATCTGTCTGCGTATGAAAGCCTGGCGAACGTCCGCAACCCCGGCTCGTCCTTTGTCTTCGAGCCACACCAGGAGGTCCCAAGGCTCAGGTGCAAAAGCCATGCAACGCACAGCACCACCGTTACAGCAGGGCCTTGATGAATTGAAGTTGCATATTATGGCATTCTTACCGTCTGCCTCGCCTGCTGTGTCTCGAACTGTGGCCACGTCGAACACTGTAATAACTCCCGACTGTGAACCGATAGCGCACAGTCGACTGAATGGAGAGAATGCAACAGTGAAGCAACAGCCGTCATCGAAGCGCGTGCCAATATCCATCTCTATGCAACGGATAAGATCCCAATCCCACGCAGGAAGCTTCTCACCGTTGTCTGTCAGAACCGTTGTCTCCAAATCACATGTAACATCGTAGAAATATGCACGAGTCTCATCTCCAACCGCAGCGAGCAGGGTCGAGTCCGGTGACATAATAGCATAATTCATGCATGCTTGGTGAGGAAGGACCTTGAGGACTTTCGACCGCGTCAGAGAATAGATTGTAACAGTCTTGTCATTATTACTGCCGCAAATTCAGCACCAACTATCAGACGGAGAGCCATATATGGTGGGAATACCTTAGGATCATAATGTCCTCGTCGGTGAATCCCTTGTCGGCACCGGGCAACCGGTGAACAGTCACCGAGTTCACAATGCTGCCCCCAAACTTGTGCAACTGTACCTCGGGCATAAGCGGTCTTGAAGCCTGGTGAGTCAATTCAGACTCTCCTCGAGACGGCCAAGGATGGGAAAGCCTTGTTGGAGGTTCCAGGTTGATGGGTAAGGCACTATCGACATCTGAGGACGGCAAAACTGACGTATCGCCACGTGCGGTCTGATCAGCGATCCGTACAAAGGCGCACTCCCCATTATCGGAGCCCCCGACACCTATCCAACCATACCCCGCGGTGAGACATTTCGGCTCAAACGGTATGACCGCTATAGTCTCTCTCTTTTGCGACGAGATGTGAATTGAATATATCACTCTGTCAGCGACTAAGTAGATTCTGTCCGGGTCAGCGGTACTGATATAGTTGCGAAGCTGTTGGTGGCTACAGTAGTGTTAGCATGATTCGTTCAGGCGACAAACTCGCCAGTATAGCAGAGTGACAGACAAGTTGGGTATCTTGAAAGGGAAAAATCGGCGTTTGGTTGCAAGGATCAGTGACTCAGTTGAGTGATGTCTAATAAAACAACGAGGTCAGCCAGGTGAAGTTGAAACAAGCCAATGCTAAAGGCAGGTTGGGACCAACGATAGAGCAGAATCCGTAGTCATGATGGTTTTGTCAAGATCACGCTGACATTGTTGGAGCGGGACTCTGGTAGACGCCGCGGTTGCCGAGCGGGCTGCAGAGAGAAGACGAGGGAGACGACGAAGGTGACTATGATAGAGGTAGTGCTGTAAGTGGCGATGGACAAGATTGCGAGGTTCCTTCTGTCGGGGAGGTACCCTACAACCTGGTAGTAGCAGCACCCGAACCAAAGGTGGTTGTGATTAATGAGTTCCTGGGCTGGGGATCAGAATGGGAAGATGATTGCTGAGACTACTGCGACTACCTAGGTATTGAATCATCGTCAACCATAAATTCAGCTAGGGTAAGGTAGATAAGAGGTATAGGTAAGGTAAGGTTGTAGTAGTATGATGGTGTGACTGAGAGTGACGACTTGGGAATGGTCGAGGCCTGGGGTTGTGATCACCGGCCCGAGCTGATGACGTAAGTCTTGTCACAGACAAATCCGGGGGATCCTTCAGCGAATAATGCGGCTGGCCGAGATCTCATTCCATTTCCATCTCATTATCATCTTGTCGAGTCTCCGGAATCAGACTAGTCGGTCTATTCCCGATATTAGATGCATCCAGCACGTTGAAGAAAGCTCGATGAAGTCTGTATAATATGCTCGCAGGCCCTTGAACACCGGATTCTCTCTTCACACAGGGGAAGCACCGAGATCGCGTGATGAGTATCGTGCATTTGCTGTAGTTGAAGTAGTTGTCATTCATTGAATGACATATCTTGCGCGTAGTTACAGAGGTACCTCTTAAACATCAAAGCAGACTTCTGCAGATATCAGGCAGATAAATATGCCCTCTGCAGTCGTTGAAGAGAGCTAGTCGTCATGCTGGGATCTGGAATGCTACCAAGATCTCCTGGGCACGTGACATCAATTGGGAAAGATCAGACACAATTTTGGCAAACCCCTGTGTCGGGACGAACAAAGCTGACTGGCGAATTACATTCTCGGAATGGCATAAGCAATTTTAGATCATGGACAGTTGGATGGAATTCCGTCGCCAACGCCGGCTTCGGAGTACGGCGTATATGAATCTCAGATTTGCCACAATACTATAAAGTCCATTCTCTACCTGACAAGACGGGATTTCTCAGTTGACTCCCGGTCTTGCTGTATAGCACTTACTATGGAAGTATAGGATACACACATTCCGTAGGGCTGATATTATTGGCAGTATACTCTATAGTCCTCTTAGAGGGAGAAACTATGCGAAAGATCTACCGCATGGTTTGTTGTCTTCTCCTCTTGTGTCGTCAGCGTACACAAGGAATTTCATTACGACACATATCGATATAGGTATAGCTAGGATGTTGCAAGGTTTATTCACTAAAGAATATAGAACTCTCCTTCTTGTAGGCAAAACGGCGCCATAAGCTAGAGCTACATCAGCATTAAAATGGTAGCTAAAGTCCTGCATTCAGGCCATATCATTGCGTTCCCCCAAGCCGTTCTCCTACACTACTTGGGCACTGAGGAACACATAGTATATAAAAAAGGCATACAAGTATTAAAAAATTTTGCCTTGCTCATGTTCGTTGACTTGAGAGTACCTGCTACTGCCAGTTAGAATCAGTAGGTTAAGGTACCTTACCAAGAATTTTACTCGTAGACGGCCAGCTCTCACAGCAGGTGATTGGCCTGCTAGGAGGCGGTCTAAGGCTAACTCGGCTATCATTGGGTGGCCAGCTACGTTGCTGTGATTCTACCAATTTCGACGACGGGCCGAAGCTCTCCGTGCAATTTCTACAACTACCCGCCCATTCTCCCTTCTTCCTCTTGAAGTTCTCTTTTTCCCCAGACATTAAAAAAGTCATCTATCTCCTTTCCTCCTCTCATCCTCCGTACCTTTCCTATTTCTCTTCCTTTATCTCATTCTCCCTTCGATTGAATCGGATCGGAGTTCTCGCTAGTTCATTCTTTTTGAGTTTCTGTATTATCTACTTTTTAATCAAGTCACGATGATGCCATCTCGTCTTGTCCGCGCTGTATGTTCCATCCTCTCCCAGAGTATCATCGCAAGCTCGATCTTCTGGACTAACGCTTGATTTTCTCTTTCAGTTGCCGCGTACTGCCCACACCCCTGCTTTCAGAGTTCCCGGCGCCTCTTTCCGGAGATGGAACTCGACCGAGGGTGAAAAGGTTAAGGGCCAGGTCATTGGTATCGATCTGGGTATGTTATTGCGGCAGTATTCTCGCTTGAAATTTTCTAACGGCGTTCCTAGGTACTACAAACTCGGCCGTCGCCATTATGGAGGGCAAGACCCCTAAAATCATTGAGAACGCAGAAGGTACGTTGTTAGAAAAAATTTTCACGCCGTGATCTGATTGGATGCACGGATCCAATGCGTCGGCCGCGATTCTGGTTTCTAGCAATTTAACTGACTTTAAATGAAAAGGTGCTAGAACAACACCCTCCGTTGTTGCTTTCGCCCAGGATGGTGAGCGTCTGGTCGGTATTGCTGCCAAGCGTCAGGCCGTTGTCAACCCTGAGAACACTTTGTTCGCCACCAAGCGTCTCATCGGTCGCAAGTTCACCGATCCCGAGGTCCAGCGTGACATCAAGGAGGTCCCCTACAAGATTGTTCAGCACACCAACGGCGATGCCTGGGTTGAGGCTCGCGGTCAGAAGTACTCGCCGTCTCAGATTGGTGGTTTCGTCCTTCAGAAGATGAAGGAGACTGCCGAGAACTACCTCAGCAAGCCCGTTAAGAACGCTGTCGTCACTGTGCCTGCTTATTTCAACGACTCCCAGCGTCAGGCTACCAAGGACGCTGGTCAGATCGCTGGTCTGAACGTTCTCCGTGTTGTTAACGAACCCACCGCTGCTGCTCTTGCCTACGGTCTGGAGAAGGAGGCCGACCGTGTTGTCGCCGTCTACGATCTGGGTGGTGGTACTTTCGATATCTCCGTTCTGGAGATCCAGAAGGGTGTGTTCGAGGTCAAGTCCACCAACGGCGATACCCACCTTGGTGGTGAGGACTTCGATATCCATCTGGTTCGCCACATTGTCCAGCAGTTCAAGAAGGATTCTGGCCTTGATCTCTCCGGCGACCGCATGGCTATCCAGCGTATCCGTGAGGCCGCTGAGAAGGCTAAGATCGAACTTTCTTCTTCCCTTCAAACCGAGATCAACCTGCCCTTCATCACTGCCGATGCTAGCGGCGCTAAGCACATCAACCTCAAGATGACTCGCTCTCAGCTTGAGTCCCTCGTCGACCCCCTGATCAACCGCACTGTTGAACCCGTCCGCAAGGCTCTCAAGGACGCCAACCTTCAGGCCAGCGACATCCAGGATATCATCCTGGTTGGTGGTATGACCCGTATGCCCAAGGTTGCCGAGTCTGTCAAGTCCATGTTCGGTCGTGACCCTGCCAAGTCTGTTAACCCTGATGAGGCTGTTGCCATCGGTGCTGCTATCCAGGGTGCCGTCCTGGCTGGTGAGGTTACTGACGTTCTGCTGCTCGATGTCACTCCCCTTTCCCTCGGTATCGAGACGCTGGGCGGTGTCTTCACTCGTCTGATCAACCGCAATACCACCATCCCCACTAAGAAGTCCCAGACCTTCTCTACCGCCGCTGATTTCCAGACTGCTGTCGAGATCAAGGTGTTCCAGGGTGAGCGTGAGCTTGTCAAGGACAACAAGCTGCTTGGAAACTTCCAGCTTGTTGGTATCCCTCCCGCCCACCGTGGTGTTCCCCAGATCGAGGTCACCTTCGACATTGATGCCGATTCCATTGTCCACGTTGCCGCCAAGGACAAGTCCACCGGCAAGGACCAGTCCATCACCATTGCCTCTGGCTCTGGTCTCTCTGACTCTGAGATCCAGTCGATGGTTGAGGATGCGGAGAAGTATGGTGAGCAGGACAAGGAGCGCAAGGCTGCCATTGAAGCTGCCAACCGTGCCGACAGCGTCCTGAACGACACCGAGAAGGCTCTCAAGGAGTTCGAGGACCGTCTTGACAAGGCTGAGGCCGAGCAGATCCGCGAGAAGATCGCCACTCTGCGTGAGTTCGTTGCCAAGAACCAGTCTGGTGAGGGTACCGCCACTGCTGAGGAGCTCAAGCAGAAGACCGATGAGCTCCAGACCGCCAGCTTGACCCTCTTTGACAAGATGCACAAGGCTCAGTCTGAGCAGCAGCAGCAGTCTCAGGGCCAGCAGGGTGAGAACAAGCCCTAAATGTACTACTAACTATACCTGAGCGACATATTCAAAAACCCATGGGTGATCTTTTGCGATTGTGTCACCATCAACTTCTTCCTCTCTTCATCACTGTCTTAACACGTGTATGACATGTATACATATCATAGCTTTCATGTTTTTCTCTACCCTTTTCATGTACTCTTCTTCCTCTCGGTGTATGGTGTTTACATTTTTTTTTCCTGCCTTCATACCTCTTGGGTCGGGTGAGCATACTTGAGATTTCATTTTTCTTGGGGCAGTTCTTTGGAAAGGTTTAAAGGATTGCCTGAAGTGTAACTTAATGACATGACGGCTGGGAACCACTAAACGGATGTGGTGGGCTTGTCTATCAGGAGCATACAATATGAAAATTCTCCTCTCTCTTCGAACATCACTATATTTGAAAAAAAAGATTAACGTTCAAATAAGTCGCTTTCTTAATCTGGCTACCCCTCGGTTCGTCCAACGGTCAGCGTTACTATCTCCTTTGCTTACTCGTTTGTTTGGTTTTCTAGCCAAAGGATCGCATGCTGGCCTCTTCGGCTTGATTTGTGGTAAACTCTTTGAAATACTCCACTTGAAAGTAGGCATCCTTGAGCCTCGCGTAGACGCCCGGAAGATGTAGATTAGTTTGATCTTTGAAGGGATTGATTGAGCTATGGGCCAAGCAAGAAATACGTGGTACGGTTCATTTTGCTCATAATAACAACATGGCAAAAAGCTGAACCCGAGCTCGCATGTACTTGATCAATTGATGATCGCCAGTTTTAGTTGCCTTTGTCGACACAGGCTAGAAAAGGTCTATGTCGCCTTTAAGTTAAGTGGTATGGCACTTGATTGGAATCGAGATGTCAGCTATGACACCTTGATAAATGAAACATAGATAGGTCTATCAATTATTGTCTTAGTGTGTTAAGATCCTTTAACAGCACCTTGCGCGGTCCATTTCTGTAGATTTAATTCACACGCTAAACAAACTAGTACAATATCTACTAATTAGCCTGTGGAGACATTGGTAATTATGATAGTCATGTGACAATAATAATAATAACAAAAAGGAAAAACCAGGAGTGAAATGCGGCATCGATAACTGTAGTACAAACTGGGATTTATTAAGATGGACAACTTGGACAGGATTTCTAGTTAGTACGATTGCCTTAATGAATTGACTGCTAGGTGCCAAATGCCATTATTATCATAATTAATGGTCAGTGGTCCCTCAACACTAGTTTCATTCCTTGCATCCTACCGGACTTTTGATCCATCGATAGAGTTTTGGCAAGAAAGGGTCAAGGAGGAATGTCGAATCATTCCAGCATGCATTGTTTAATCCTCATTTCCTGGTAATCCTGTACGCTTGCGCTTCTAGGGAGAAACCAACTGAGACACTTCCCTGACTCCAAAGACGGAAGGAAGCGAAGGGGGGAAAGGGCCTGTACTTCCGTGATTTGAGCCATTATTATTGATTCAAACTTGATCATTTACAACTCAAGTGGATCACCGCTGGACATGACAGGATTCGTTTACACTTTACAATGTCCGAGTGACCTTCAGTTTCTCCTTTTCCATTCGTACACGATACGGAGGATCTATCTAGCTGATATCCAAAGCCAATATAGGGATCTCCCAAGTCAATCAAGGCAGGAGCGCGGCCATAATCGTCGAATCATGCCGTCAATGGTAGTCATGCTGATAGGATAATGATAATATTAGCTCATTTCTATAAAAAATAGTGTCAACTGTAATGCCTGGATTTTCTCTTATCGGATTCCCACAGCTTCAGCTGAACTCCACTGGGAGACATGCAGAGTTGCAGTAGCAATGCAGAAGAATAGACAAATCAACCACTCGACCGCTGTATAGTTTATAGGCCGTCAGTCGATACTGATTGCCTTTTGACTTGGCTCAAGTGACCTGGATGCTTCGCACGATATGATTATATTGAACCATAATAGCGGATAGACCTCGCGTCCAATAACGCAATGTAGCTTTTCATGGGAAATTATTCCAGGTCATTATTCTATTGCCTCCAATCCATCGCCTTTATTATTACAAGAAGATGGGGTCAAACTAAGAAAAACAGAATGTGAAAAAGATAATGGACTCACGGGGGATTGAACCCCGGACCTCTCGCAATTATGGTCTAAAGACCTGCATTGGTGAATGCAAAGCGAGCGCTACTACCACTGAGCTACAAGCCCATTCGTTGGTGGAATTGCGCACTAGAGTGCTCATGTAGGACCTTCGTCCTCTCACCGAGTTGATCATGCGTCAGGAGTTGGTGATCGAAAGCAGCAAATAAGCCTTATATCTGGAAGATGGAAAGAGGCTAAATACTAGGGAAAACAAAGTATGAATAGTAAAAGGAGTCGGAGGGCTACGAATAGTTACTAATCCGATAGATAATGAAGTTTTACTGTACTGTTGTCGATCAGTTGTCAATAATAATAATAATAATAATAATAATAGCAATAACAATAATAAGGTATCGATTTATTCGACTTTCTGGCTCACCCCACTTGGTCATAATTACATTATGGTGATTTGAACGCTCACCCCCCTGAGAAACATGGAACGAAGATGCTCTTAATTTCTCTTCATAATGAACATTATCGATGCCAATTGGATTTGATTTCTCATGGCTGGTTCTGGTGATTTTGCCAGTGTTTCCGAGCTTTGATGGTAGTTTGGCTCCTCTTATGACCAGGGGTTCTGCACAAAATCAAAGACATTTTGCTGCATTGTACCTTTCGAGACAGGCTATGGAGTATCAGCTGGGACTTAGTCCAACTTCTATGGCATTCTATCTGCCCAGCTCCTTTGATTGTGTGACATACAAAAGTAGATCGCCCGATGTTCATTGGCTGTTAACCACTATAAATAAATTAAGTGGAGGGGCCATTTTCTTCATACCCTTTTCCCATTCTCTTCGCCCTTAAGAAAATGAAAAAAAAAAGGATGAAAGGAGATCCCATCTGAGATGTACACCTAGTCTACTCGGCCACAAGCAATCTTGAAGATAAGAGTATTGGCTACCATTTATTATGCGCATCGAGTCTACCAGTAATAATGATTCCATGATGTCAAGAATGCATAGAGTAATAATCCATGTTGTTATTGTGCTGGAAACCTGATCTTGAAACTTCTGATACATGACAAACTTTAGCCATGGCTCAGTCCTTGATTCCCCCTCTACTTAGATTTGGCGGTGTTTTATCTAGACTATCCCATGAATAATGATTCTTACTTCTTGGGAAGCTGGGATAGTCTGCAGTACCTACGGTAGTTGGTCAAGGCACCAATTGATTCTTTTCTCTTCTACTGTTTTATTCTGGAAGTCATCTTCACCGCCAAATATGAGTAGCCAGTCTAGATCCAGAAAACAAGGCCGCGTACAGTTAGTCTAACATTTTATGGATTGTGTTTGTCACTAGTGTGACAGTAGTGGTCTTGTTTTTAGAGGGAACCCTGATTCAATCTATGCAATAATAATCAATTGCACTACACCTGATTTGTAGGCCAGCCAAGTAAATCCAGTCAATCCACACTCACTTTGGCTTCTTGTACTACTTACATATATCTAAACATGTTGAATTGACCTCAGATTAACTTCATCAAAGTCAGAATGGAAAATAAGAGCTTACTTATATTAGAAACTTGGATTTCAATGCCTATCTTAAGGTAAATATTCACAATATTTACTTTTTTCGTATTCTATTACACTTGCTGCATCTGCATCTGATACTGGAGCTCACTAACTTAGTGCTGTTGCAGGTCCTGCCTTGATCCATGGGTTTGTTTGTTTTCTGATGACCATGAAAGTCAAACTGGGTTTGCTCTACAAAACAGAACTACTACTAGTATCTTAGTCTACTAGTCTAGCATTTTAGCTGATGAGAGCTGTCGAAATCAATTTGCATCTATTAATTAGTCTATTTTATTAGATTTTTTTATTTTCTTTTTCGCCTCACATTAGTGACTTTACCCTTTCCCTGCCTATCACAAAGTGATTAAGTATTTTCCTCATCTAGATTGTTTAGCATTTAATCTCACCTTAGGGGGACTAGTTACATACTTCAAGTAGTATCTAAACTCAATCCTTGTTTTCATATCTATCCAACCATCAGAAATCCCTTGCGTCAGCCGTTACCACTTGTATTCTTCTACTCCAGAATAGTCATCTTAGTGGGCGTCAGTCAACAACTGGAGGGTCCGCGGGAAATTTCCAATGGTCTAGAAAGCAGAAAAACGGGCAAGGTGCAGCTAAGACAGCCACACTAGCAATTTGTTTTTCTTCTTGTCTGCTTTTTTGACTTTTTGTGACTCTATTGGTGAGCTTGGATTGTACTACTTCGATTTCGCTGCAAACCCACCCTGCAAGTGTAGGTAAGTCTTGATTTTTCAGTCCTGTCTTTTCCTTATTTCCCTCCAATCTCCAGTCAGTGTCCATTGCTTTTCTATCATTCTTTGTTATTTCATACCTTTCTTTCCCTCCTTCGAAGTACTCACTCATATAATCGTCTAACACTTTGTTTACTTTACATTTTATCTAATTGGTAATACTTACATCTCTCTGTTCTCATCTTTATCTGTCTCCATCTACACATCCCCTTCTTTGCGAGGCAATTTCACTCTCGTGACGACTACAAAGCCAACCCACAACTGACTGCATGCTCTTCGGTACAGAGTAGAGATTCAAGTCCACTTGAACATTAGTAAAAGTTCAAAACCTCATTCATCATGACGGTGGCCGCACCGCCTCCAGTCCCTTCCTCTGTTCACGAGCATGGCATCAATGGCCTTCCTGGCCATGCTGTGAACATGAGTCTGCCGCGATTCCACCCAATCGCAATGAATCCGAACCAGCCTATCCCTCCAGAACATGCCATGCAGAATCATCATCATCATCATTACTACCGTCCTTTCCCCCCTCCGCCGCCTATGCAGGAGCCTGGTCCGTCTGGCCCTCCAGGCCCTCCCGGCCCCCCTGGTCAGCCTCCCTCTATAGACCATATTGAAGCTCGGTTGAGGCAATTAGAACAGGAGGAGGCCGCACGAATGGCGGCCCGCAGTCAACTACTTGCGATTCGGAAGCGGGAAGACGAGGAGTTCCGTAGGATGACTGAGCATGCTGAAGCTGAAGAAGAGGTATGCTATGCCATTGTGATGTGGTGACCTTCAGTGACATAACGACTGACTTCTCATTCAGGAGCTTCGTAGACAAAGAAAACGTCTAAAGAGAGAGTCTATGGGACTTGGGTATAATGCAACTATTGACTCGCCGCCTCTGCGGCCCACGCCGCCTCGTCGCTTGTCAGAAACGAATGCAGCCACGACCCTTGCGTTCTTTAAGCAACAGAGTCCCCCCGAGCCGCGTCCTATTCCACAACAACCACCGGCGGTGCAAGCGCCCCCACCTCACCATCCTCCACCACAACATGCACAACATACACAACACATCCAGCATGACCCGTCAGCGGCCAATGCCATCAGGCGGAAACAAAAATACACGATTAAGAATGTAGAGGCTTGGGGGGAACGCCATGGACGTCCCGCCGCACATGATCCTTCCGGACGCGCGTTGTGGAAGCGGCCATCCGACGGCAGCTTGGTCTATCTGACATGCCCGGTTCAGGGATGCGGCAAAGCTGATTTCGTGACCCTTCATGGCTTCATGTGCCATTTGACGAAGAAGCACAAGGATCGCAGCCTGGGGAGCCAGTCTAGAGCGTTGGAAGTCTGTGGAGTGGTCTTTGACCCCAATGCTCCTCTCCCTCCTGTCTCTTCCGTGAATCGTGCCTCAACTGAGGAAAGCCGTGTGGAGTCTGCCCCAGCGGATCCTGACAACTACTCCAACGACATGGAGTATTCGTCCGCTTCTGATGAAGAAGGCCGTGAGCGGTGTCCTGTGAAGTTGGAGCCGACTGAGCGACCTCTGCCCACCCCGGCAGCGCCTCTACCCACACCCGAAGAACCCACGACACTTCCGAAACCGAATGGCTTCACGAAACAATCTATCTCCTCGATCATTGATCGAGATCCTACCGCTGAGCAACGAGAAAGCTTGAGTTCTGCGGTTCCTCACACCTCTCCACGATTGTCGCCAGCTGCATAGGGCTTAATAATCCATCAAAGAGAAAATTAAATTCCTAATGGTACCACTGAATGAATACACAGTAACACAAAGCTGAAGGACTGAAGGAAGCACGCAGATCTAGCTTTATATCCCTTGTGGTTAATGGTCTCATGAGCTAGTTGCGGAACCAGGCATTGTAAACTAATTATGGGACTAGGCCTTGGGTATAAATAGTCATAGGACTAGCTGGTATATGCCTGCATGTCTATTTGTTAGTACGTTAGATTGAGACCCTGAAAATAATAGGTCTTGATGAAGCTCTACATTCATTTGGAAAGTGGTGCAATCTGCTTGTATGTCTATGGATATATATAGTTATGGTAGCCTGCACATCGCCTTTAGTGTGGACCCCTACTACAGTGGGAAGTGACCTCCCCTTATTGTAGGGAAATATTATCACTAGGACGCCTTCGCCTCCCGTGGGCACTTCCAGCGCTCAATGGAATGCTCCATCCACTCCCCATCTAGGAGTCAGTCTGCCTCCGCGGGCACTACGTACAAGAACAGAGGACGTCTTATAACCCTTACAACTACACTCCCTCTCTCTTCTACTTCTTGTCCTCCTTGACAACCCCATTATCTTCTTCCTGTGGTATACCTTGGTTTCTCGAACAGCAATCCCAATCCATCAGAGCCGTGAAGGAAAGATAGTAAAACTGCCTTCATTATCAGGTAACTGAAGTGGTTCCTGACCCCAGGGCCTCCTGGAACCTAATTGCTCATGACGTTATACGCATCTTCCACTTAAGGTAAGTTACTCTTTCCTCTCCCTCTTGTGATCAAGACTCATTACCTGTCATGACAACATCAAGTATTGACTTTCCCATTAGGGTATTTCTGTCCACTGAGTCATCACCACGCCATGATGTCTTGCGCACGCGCACGGAACGTGTGGTTTTACAATGGTTTAACCCATGAACTCCTTGGTGGTGTACAACAGAACAGATCAATCACGAATGAGAACTTTTTTGAGATGCTCACAACTATATTACTCATTGTTGACACCCCAATCACTATTTTTTCAAGGGCTACTGACCAGCCAATCCTGCTGAATGACGAACCCTT